CCCTGGCTGCGATGACAGCCGTTAATCGCTGTAGTTTGTCGCTGCCCGTTTGTCGAGCCCTTAAAGCTGGGCTGTTTTGTGACTATTGATCCTTTGCAACTGCATCCCCTAATCACGCTGAGGCGCCATGATGGACGTCAGAAGTGATGGAGGGGAGTGTTGAACGAAGAAACTGGGATTGTTGTTGTTTTTCCAGTATGTGGATATTTTAGGTAGAAATCTTAAACTTTTAGGGTGCTTCATTTTCTTAAACTTACAAAGTTTTATGGAGTAAAACGTTTTCAGATGGTGGAACAGATTTTCATGAGATCCCGCTGCTGGTCAGCACCACTCTCCGGCACTTTTTACAGACTGAAAGCTGAAGTTTGTTGGACCATCAAAACCCAAACCACGTCCACACTGAATTTAATCTTTTCTTTCTTCTCAACTTTTTTTTCTGTGTTTCTTCTTCAGCTGTGGATGTTTGTTCACACCCAGCTGTCGAGCTAGTTAGAAGAGCACTGGTGTGACGTCTGTCGATCAAATTTCTTTAAAAGTCACACCTCCGTTATCAAAACATTTTTTACCCTGACATTTATCGATACTGAATTATTGTCCAGCACTATTATGAAGCATATGAACATTAATCTCCTTACCTTGTAGAAAGTGTTCGCTGCAAATCTGTGAATACACCGAGGGCTGCCACTCCTTAAGTTAGATGCTGATATTCATCGCCGTCTTCTATCCTCGTCCAAACGTCTGAGATATAATGACAGGTTTGGTTTGTTTGCTTGTCTGTTTGCGCAGCACCCTATGACCATTCTTTACAGATAAAACAACTTATTAAAATTAGGCTACCAAGTGTTTTTTGACTAGCTGTACAGGAATTTACATGCATAGGTTTATTTTGACGTCCATAGTGGACCACCTTCTGAAGAGCATGACGTCAAGTGAAAAGAGTCAATATAGTTTCCACTTTATAATCCTTTCAAAATAAAGCATGATGGCAGAAACAGATCCAGAGGTGCTCCAAGGTTTTTTGGGGTGGACTTAGTTGTAGGTAGGTAGGAATGGTGTTGAAAAAAAAGTACCTTGACTGGAAAATCACTGGAAAACTTGGAGCGGCACAATGGCTCCGTTGGTACAGATTACATCTCTGAGTGAGAAGGCTGCCTGGTTGTATTCTGGCCGGGGACCTTTCTGGGTTGAGTTTGCATGTTCTCTCATATCATACTGTATGTGGGTTTTCTCAAAGTACTCCGGTTTCTTACCACAGAAAACATGACAGTTAGGCTAATTGGTGACTCTAAATTGTCCCTAGGTGCGAGTGAGAGTGAATGGTTGTTTGTCTCTATTTGTCTCTGTGATGGACCTGCGACCTGTCCAGGGTGTCCCCCCACCCCTCACACTGTGACTGCTAGTTGTGGGCACCGGTGACCCTGAAAAGAAGAAGCTGGTAAACCAGGGGTGCCCAGCCTTTTTTGAACCAAGAGCTACTTTTGAAGTCGGCAGTTTGCCAAGAGCTACTCGTCCAGTCTCAGTATCAAAAAAACATAATTTTTCATCTCCCTACTCCCCACTTCTTTTTTTTTTGATCAAGGTCTTTTTATTATTTATTTTTAACATAAACCACAAAAAAGAACAGACTTACAAAAACACAAAACAAAACACACCCCCCCAAAATCCCTCCCATCCCTCCCCTCCTATACCGGATCCACTATATAACATGAATCCATCATGTATTCATACATAAGTTGAAACAATGCAAAGGTTTGTGATAAAGAACCAATATTTGACCTTTACACAAAATTATCTGCCAAAATTTTTTCTATGTAAGATAAAAATGGCTGCCAGATGTCAAAAAAATTGTTTACAGATCCCCTAACAGTATATCTAATCTTCTCTAAATGAATGTAAGACATAAATTCTCTTAACCAATGACCATATACTGGAGGATGTGGATCCTTCCATCGAAGAARAATAAGTCTTCTAGCCAGTAGAGAGCAGAAAGCTAACACCGTCCTCTGATGTTCACTGAAGGAAGCACTTCTTTAAATAAAACAAAACGTAATGTGTTGCTAGTTTAATTTAATTTAAATTATTGTCAAACAAAACTATCTACTTAACCATATATTTACCTACAAAAAAACCCAGAAAAGATAAAATCCTTATTTAACTCCTGACAGAGAAACAGAAAAGTGATGCTAAAACAAAAAGGATACATTTTTTACCTCCTTCAATTAGTACTCCCTGTAACGTGCGAGCTATGAGGGCTGGAAACCTGCACACTGAGAACCACAGACTTAAATAACATTGGAGCAGGGGAACTCATCTCCATTTATTCAAAGAACACTCCTCTCTTTCTCTCCATACAGGGGAGGAAAAACAAAACAAAAAACTAAAGTCAAAGCACACAATATAAAACTCTCTCATTTATACTATTACAAAAAGTGACTTACGATGGTGCAGATTCACAAATCTCCAACAACTATTTCAAACCTCAATCTGCAGCAGGATGGTGTCATCTGTAGGTGCTGGCCCTCACTGGTCCAGACTACCGGTTCCAGACCATTCAAAGAGTTCCACCTGTTCACCACCTGACAAGACACACACACACACACACACACACACACAC